TAACGTTCTGTGATTCTGTGATTCTGTAACCTGGTCTTGAACACCGCCAAGAAGGTGCTGCTCCTGTCCTAGTTACTTCCTTACCCACCTATGCTGAAATTGTGCCTCACTCATTGACTTCTGTGTGCTCTGGTGAAGATGTAAAAAAGCAGGCTTTTGTTACTTAATGACAAATTAGACTCTTTTATGCAAGCAACATTCCTCATACCTGTCTCTGGGCAGAATCCATATTTCTTATCTCTGTCGTAGTCTTCAGTGGTTCCACACCATCGGTATCCATCTGTCCTGCCTTCTGTTGTGCACTGGTCATAGGATTGGCCTTGAAATTTAAAGGGAAATTTGCACGGCTGCCCATCCCCGTTGCCGCCCATTGTAAAAAGTGCTGTATGGAGAATGAAAGAGAAAAACTTCAATACTCTGAACATCAACAAGGAATCCCGGTGTGCCGGCGGTAACATGCAAAGGTCTTCACAGAGATTAGACAGCTGTTGTGCGCGGTGCAGTTCACACTTAGAACTTCATACCAACAGTGACGTGCTTTGGCAAGATAGACAAGGCATGTCACAATCTCGGAAGCGAATAGAAAGGAATGACTGGCTGGTCTGTATAAATGAACTGGAATTGAAGAATATCCCAAGCTGTTTGAATGTGGTTTGAATTGTGTATGTCCTTTATAGCTCCCTTGTAACATAAAATTATATCCCTTCTTGAAACAACATTTAGAAAGAGGATTCTGAGAAAGTCACTCATGTTCTTTGGTGCTCTGCTGATTCATTTACCTTGCATCGAAAATGTTAGCTAGAATGGCAAATTTTGTACAGAGGCACAGACAAGCCAGGTCAGTTTTTCCTAATGGCCATCTGTGAATGTTTTCAGTTTCTTTAAGATGCTGGCATACAGTGGAGTTGAAGTCAGATCATAGCCTGTAGGCTTTTCCTCTAGGCTTTGCTTGTCATTTCTGAGAGTCTCTGCAACTGGGCTCAGGCACTCAATAGATAAGCAAGAGAGAACAAATAGGACTGCTCCACCAAAGCTGAACACTGGAGGCTTCTCTTGTCGTCTGTGTTACTGTTCCTGAAGGTAGTGTACTGATCTTCTAGGGGCTGTTCCTTGTCTGTCCACATAGATAAACAAGGCCCCATGGCTCAACCCTGAGAACCAGAAATCTCTCTTGTGGATGAAGAAATACAGATTAAACTGAGTCATGAGTTCTGGGATCTGTTTTAGGATTTTAGTAAACTTTCTGGAATATCTAGAGGAAGACAAATAAAATCTCTCATGTTAATATTTCAAAATGTATGTCCAAATTGAATTACATGAAAATGCAGGTGGCTTGGAGCATCAGATATCATGTGAATCTGCTTGTGTCTTCTCTTGGCTGCTCTATTAATGGAAATTGTCAATGGTAGGACAGTGTCTGTAAGTACCATGTGCTGGTGAGTTTATTATTATTTATTTATTGCTTCATTTAAAGTAGTAGTAAATAAAAACTTAAGACCTTTTCTGGCTGAGGGGTGACTGTGAAGGGTTTTAATGATGGGGTGCTGTGACACAGATGATTAATTTTCCTTTTTCCACTTCAATCAGTAATTGGCCAGAGTATCAGGGGCACGAACCAGTAAGTTACTGAAGTAAGTTCCAGTTCCACTAAGGAGAGGACTTGGAGATTTGCAGGCCTGGCTCACATGTGTGAGTTTGCTGAACTTCTGACCTGGCTGAGCTCTGGTTTGTATCCTTCTGCACCCTGGACATGGAAGCAGCCACGCAGAGGTCTTATCTCTAGGCGAAAGGCAATGGCAACACGCACTGCATCCTTAGAACAGCAAGCTGCAAATGTTTGTCTAAGGTGCTGTAATAAGTTAGGAAATGTGCATTAACTGGAACTGTGGCTATCTTGACTAGAAAGAGACTTTAATTTTTTTATAAAGAATAGAACTGGAAGGCAAAATCAAACTGATCTGTTTGGATGACTCATTTACCACACGAGCTGCTTCTAGCTCTAGATCTGGCAAACTGTATTTTAATAGCCTTTTCTATTGATATAAATGTGGTTACATTGCAAAAAACTTATGGAAAGTCAGTCTCCTACTGCTTTGCGTGGAGTCTTTGAGTCACAGTCAAAATGCAATTTTTCATTTTGCTTGAGGTAACATCATGTGATGGTAACAACTATGGTTTATTAAGCTCTCATAACCTCCCCCTTGCCTTAACTAGAGAATTATTTTCTTAAATGAAAGAGACTAAGTCAGTTTTCCCCACAAGAAAAGAAAAACTTTATATACGTGTAAGGGGATCTTAAAGGGCCTGTCTCTTGCTCTGTACTGTGGCAAGGTCAGCGATTTAATAATCAGTGAAGATACGCTGATATGGGAGCAGATTCAGGCTGGACGTTACTAATCTGTGAGCTGCACTCTTCCCAGAAAGGTCAGCCAGCTGTGATGTAAGGAAACATCAGGCCAAAAGGAAACATCAGGCCAAAAGGCTGCTCAAAACCCTGGGGCACAGATGCAAGGTATAGGTAGCTGCAGATTCATGAGAGTTCTGCCTGGGGGAGCAGTGGAGCAGCGGCCTGCAAGGCCTGTGACCAGTCTGAGGAGGTACAGGCAGAGCACAGGTACCGGTAACGTTAGATATCACAGGACCAAAGGGGCCTGAACTTCCTGTAGTGTCAGTAGAGTTTGGTAAAGAGAGAGATTCAAGATCTCTCGATGCCATATGGCAAAGGAGAGGTTCAGCACACCTGCATAAGACTTGTGTTAGTAGGCGGGCAAATTCCTGCTTTCCTTTCTTCTGCTTTGAGAAATGATAGTTGAATCAGTCTACAAAGTTAGGGGACAGATCTAGGATTAACTTTAGAAAAGCTTGGTGCAGTACCATAGCTTTAAAAATGTTCCCAAATATGTGGCATGGCTCTATAATGAAAAGAACTGAAACTAACTTCAGTGAATTAAATGAGAGAGAAACAGACACTCCCCATCAGAATTTATTAGCCAGGTTTTAGAAAATGGTGTCTTGGAATAATGAGTGAACAATGCTGCTCTGAATTTAATAAGAAACATCTGTCCGTAACAATTCAAGGATCTTGCGAAACAATTACATCAGACACAAAAGGCTGGAACTCTTCTGTTCTGTTTCAGAAACCCTGACACAGGCATTTCCAGGAACATCAACTTCCAGAACCAGCTCGCCCTGAGAGTGCTTCATTGCTTACCTTTTTGGTCTTGTATGATTTATGGGATTTTCGAAAGGTATCAGTCAGGGTATATGGATCTTGGTTTGTCCAGCTCCCTATAATCTGGGCTTCATTCCAACTGTGTCTGGCATGTGGACTATTTTAAAGAAATGAGCCCAATTTTGCTTTGTTTTACTTTGTTTTCCAGCTGGAAGGATTAACCTGAGGGAGAGGAGGTTGGGGAAAGGTGGGGAATAAAGGAGATGGGAAAGTTTTAGGGAAGAATTATTGTGCAGGCATGTGTGTGTGCACACGTATAATCTACTGAAGTAAATGTTAGGTTAAAGAAGATAGTGCTGAAAGTCATTTAGCTAATGATAACTGGTTTTTTTAGTTAACTGAGGTCTGTTAAAAGTTCACACTCCTGCTTGTTCATCCCCTCTAGTTGTATAAACAGCTGTCACCATGCTAGATCCCAGCTCTAGATGTGATCTGTAATGGGCAGTTAGGATTTTGGAAACGAAAAATATTTTTTAACACATTAGGGCTAGAAGACTGATATGTTCTACAGCAGATTATCTCTGCAAACCACTAGCATCCTGATGCAGAAAATTGTAATCTTGTACTGGAAACTGTATAGTCTTGCAAATGAACTTCAGATATCCCCAAAGTTTCTTAAGCAGAAATGAATTTATTGTTGGCTACAGTAAGATACTGGAGAAATTTTGAAGACAGGGTATCTGAGCTTTTTCTATGTACACATTTCTGTGATCTTTCAAAAAATGTGTGCTTAACTGGCACATACATATTAATGAACATGCATGTGTTTTTACAGTACTTGCTGAGGCTTGCCTGGGACATGTGAGGCTGTGCTTGTGCATTCTTGGTCTGGCAAAACCCTGAACATGTCTTGGTTTGTCAGCTTTACCCCTTAAGCTCACTCATTTTCTTTCAGCAGTCTGTGTTGTCTTTCTGTGTACTGACTCCATGTAGCCATAGTATTATAAATAAGTGTCTCACTATTGTTCCAAGCAGGATTAGCATGAGTCCAACAAAAGCTCCATTATTTTCTGTTTGATTCTTTTTCATAACTCCATTTTTATTCATTATGACACAGCAGTAGCAGGCAGGAGTTTTAGTGAACCTGTGGGTCCACTGCTCGGAACGCAAGGCAACAAGAGTGATGAAACACTCCCTGCTGCCAATAGCTTATAGCAGCTGTTGCATGCAAAGGGAAAAAAGTAAATAAGGGAACTGCAGTACCGGGAATGTTGGTGAATATGGGTGCCAGCACTGGGGCTGGCGAACAGAACATGATGGAACAAGTAACTAAAAGCCCCTTGCCTTCTCTACTCTTCTCACTGCTGGTAAATTAGCACAGTAGGCTACTGCAAATTATGTTTAATTGCTTCCCCAAATGTTTCCTGTTGTGTGATATACAGGAGATAAAATTAACACTCATATAACACGAGAAATCTTATATCCAGTAGACTCATCAAGATTTTCAAGCATATAAATACACATTTATGATGTACAACAGGAAACATTTTTGTCATAGTTTAATTTGAAAGAGAATTATCAGGTTGTGTATAATTTTAAAAAGTTACAGCTGCATTATATACATTGATCTGTAAATGAACGTTTCCAGATATGCAATAAATTGCTCACGAAGCAGAGGATTATGTTCGCATTCTAAAAAGTTAGAAATTGAGTATGATCTTAGCTTTCCTAGATCCTCTGAGAGTTTTGTACAGATAAAGATAGAGTTATGATTTCAGATACAGTGTCATTCCTGTATCTAAAGAGTGCTGCTGACACTGGTTCATGAGCAAGAGTCTGAAGACCTGCATGAAAAGTAAAACCTAAATTCTCAAAATCTGAGTGGTTTCCTGGCTAGCAATTTGCAATGTACTAACATATAAATAACCTTGTAAAACCATAGATAGTCACTTGAGAATTCAATAATTTTTCTTTTGACATGCAGATGATGTCATTTAAAGGGTGATTTGTGACAATAATGGTGTCCTGTTGCACTAAAGGGCTCCCAGACTCAGAGGACCTGGGTCACCAGTTGGTAAAATTGGTATGCAAAATTATAGAGGTTTGGCTTAATGGGTTTCATCCCTAACTGCTGTTTTTTATCAGTTACTGCTCTTGAAGGAGACACAATTGCACTTTTGTGGAATGGCCTGCAATTTAGGGAGAGGTTTCTGTCATTTATTGTGCTCCATCTCCAAATCTGGCCCTACCCTTACTCTAAAAGGTGCTTGTCTTTCTGGATCATGAAACTGCACCTGTAGTGTCTTTGATGGATATATAGGGTTGACGTTGTTTCAAATATATCTTCAGTATGTCCTTGTTTTTAGAGAAAGGTCTTGACCTGGGTCACCATCAATTATGAACCCTCCTGCTCCAGGGGAACCTTTAGGGAGTTTTGTCTACTGTGATACCAAGAAGATATTAAAAAGCTTTGAATCTAAATCTGCTAGAAAAGAAGTAGGAAAAGTACAAGGAGAATTGGCAAATAAGTAAAGATCAGTTTATCAGAAAAAAACCCAGTAGAAACAATGATCTACTTACATTCGTGGGGACAAAAGCCGTATTTGCCATCTGCATCAAAGTCTTTGGTTGTGGAACACCAGAGGAATCCATCACTGCGTCCTGCATCTGTGCAGCTATTGTATTCCTTGCCATTGAACCAGAAGGGAAATTTGCAGTATTTGCCATCTGCATTTCCATACTTCACTCTAACCACTGTAAAGAGAATAAATGCAGTGGTGAAATTAGCCACCAACTGATATAGAAAAGAAATACAGTTTCTGGACATCTGCTGGAGGATATTGATACAGAAATGCTGTCTGAATTTCCACTTTGAAATTCAATATGTTGCTGGTGTCTCTATTGGCAAGATGATCATAGCTGAAATAATAACTAGTCGTTTTGAAAGAATTACATGGAAATTACTCATGGTGAAGTGTTACAATGAACAGTCCTTAAAATTAGCCCAGAAACATATATATTATGTTGTCACTATGGCAATGCAAACTCATAAATTCATTAACAGCATGTTTATAAATTTATTTTCTTTGATAATATGGTCTAAAATGTTCAGTATAGTTTGAAAAGCTCCAGGCAGCAGTTGAGTAGGAGCTGAACATGCCCTGTGCCTCATAAACCACTTTGGTATTTCCAGTTTGATTTGAATGAGGTCTGCTGTGGCACTGAGGGGTAGGATGATAACACAGACACCCCCAGATCCTGGGTTATATTTCAGTTTGTCACAGGTAGTCTTAAGACTACAGCACTCATGCTGTAATATGTGTTAATGTAATAGATCATTCACTTATTCGTAGCATTTATTTTAATGGCAGTAACTGAGTGCTTGTGCAGTATTTCCGCTAATATGGGAAACAGTTTCCTCCTGTTTGTTGTTAGTCCGAGGCAGAGATTCAGCCTAGTTAGTACAGTACCTTGTCAGTTCTTCTGCTAAAGTTAAAAGAAAGCCGACCAGAAGGAAGTTGACTATTTTAGTATTAAAGTTCAAATTATTTTTTCAATGGGAGGACAACTGAGAAAAGCAGTGCTTGAAATAAAAGTCAAACATGTGTTTGCATTCTTATTCTAAGTATTCAAAATGATTTTACAGTAGAAGAATGATAATTAGTACTACTTGATTGTGGCAAAGTTCAAGCAGAAAAAAAAAGAGTTTCCAAACTGCTAATACTTGCTCTTGTTCGTCTAGTTCAGGTGATATTAGCTGGGCTTCAGTTGTTTTAAAGGGTATGGCAAACTGCCTGTTAAAGATTCTTGGAGAAGTTCTTAATCCACTGTTTGATGTCAATTTTGTTTCAGTCATCAGCACAAGTGGTTTATATTCCATGTGTTTTTGACAGGCACCATGAGTACATAAATCCTTATTCAGGTAGATGGTTTCTTTTTTAACAACTGGAGCCACAGGTTACACCATCTTAAAAGTGATGAAAAGCACTGGCCAGTCTGCCTCTTATAGATGAACTTAAAGATGTAGTTTGAGACCCTTAAAACTGAAACGTTCAAAACTGTAGTCATGGCTTTGTACTTTTCCCACAATTAATGAAAGTTATGCAGCATCAGGCCCATTATTAATTCAGTTTTTCAAGGAACAACAGTAGAGGAACAGAAAGGAAAATCCTAGGTAACATTTCTGCAGGAATTACATTAATATTCTGTAGAGAACAATTTAAATTCATTTTCTTCTCCTAACATGTATTAACATGTCAATGAAAACATTTAGCGCAGTGCCTGAAACAGCATTAAAACATAGCAGCCAGCAGGCCATATGTACTGAAACATTAAAAATCCTGGTACCTTGCCCCTCTCCAAGAGTCCACAGTTCATCATCATCAAAATGGGAGTCTCCTCCAATTCCTGGCCCTGGTGCAAAGGCATGAGCCAGGAGGCCGTCTTTGCCATCAAATGGGTAGCCGTCACCATGTTCTGCAAGAGGAAGCAGACAAAAAAGAGCAATTTCTAATGACCTCAACTCTGTCAAGCCCTGTACGTGAATGATGACGATCATGTGTACTTTCCCATTCAAGACAGCAGCAGAATACTCTAGTGAGTGAGTTTATTGGTATGGGTTGTGCTGGAAAGACTGAACCAGAAGAGAAGCAGCTAGTTCTTATAAAGAATATTAAGTGTCGGTACTGCAGTTGTCACAGCATGTTATTTTATATCTCATAAGCATTGTGGAACGGAATCAGAGACAGTGAAGAACAGTGCAATATTGTACATTAGATGCTTGACTGTGTGTGCACTGCTACTTCTCGAGGGAGACTGGCAGGAGCTGTAAAATAGACATTGTAGATGAGGGATGTTTTCAGATAATTCGTATCAGTCTTCAACACAGAGATTACAAAGTAAAGGCAGATTTCTTTTTGCAGGCTACTCTTTTCTGCTGCACCTCAGACTGCTGTGCTCTTTTCTTTGTGCAGGATACTAACTACTTCAAGCAGGAAAGCAAATGGGCTGAGTGTCTCAGTAGTGAGCCTCCAGAAGCTGACTCTTATTCAGTGCACTGAGTCCTGTGAATGAGCCTATTCCTCCTCCCCATCAACCACTCCAAGAGTTAGGCAGCTCACAGGGCAACAGCAGGTTAAGTAGCTCTCCTGTTATTGCACTGTAGGCTTTTCATGGAAGTACACCGCATGTGGGTAAGGCAGGCTGGCAAGGGCATAGCCCTGGCATTCATAACTTTCCCACCACACTGACCTGTGCATTGAAGCTGGCTGCCAGCATCTCCAGTTGCATCGTTTCAGGCCTTTTTGTTTGATGTCTTGCCATTTAACAGAAGCCCTAAATACACAGGCCTGATTCTCTACTCTGTGACACTGATTTCATGCTGGTAGCATTCTTCTAATACTACTTCAGTCCATTCATTGCAGTGGACGCGTGTCAGTTGTCAAGGTGAAGATTTTGACGTATATTAGATGCTTTATTCCCATTTATTTCAAAGTAGATCCTTTGCTTAAAAGAAAGCTTAGAAATGAAAAACCCTTGTGGGTGTCCCAGCTCCTGTGAATCTGATGTGCAGTAAAGTGAGAAGAATGAATCAATGTGGGAGTTCTTCTTCCACTGTTTCTGAGCTAACTACAACCAGCAAGTACTAAAATCCACAGAAACACTTTTGCTTCTGTAGGATTTCTATTTTTCCAAACCAAGCCAGCCTAGATGATGTTCTGAAGTTCTGAGTTCTGTACAGAATCTCTGAAGCTTTTGGGATCAATTCATCAGTAGCTAGAGCAAAGAAAACCACCTTGAAATGGGGGCATTTGCAAGGAGATTGGTTATTCTTTGAGCTGTTCACTTCACTTCCAAAGTCTACCTCCTAAGTGTTTGGCTGCACAAGTATCTCCATTAGTATTAAAACTTCTGTGACTTTCTGTAAGAATTTTAAATGCCTGAGGTTTACACTGAAAAGCTATAAACGTTCTCTTTGGGGAAACCAAAATTAATTGAGAAGGCATGTACAACAAAAACGAATCAAGTCACCTACCACCAGCTGGACTTGAACCATAATTCAAGGATCCATATTTTTAAATTCTTTAAGACCAAAGAATGCATTGAAAGCTTACATTCTGCTATGCTAAGAACAGAGACCAGCTGTGGGGTCAAAACTGAATGTCACAAGTCCATTTTTAATGAGTTAGGACCTCCACCTCTATCACTGGGGAACTGAGCATAGAGCTATAAATAAACTGTATGGTGGCAACCCATTCTCTTCTGTGGCAGGATGCCAGCCCACATCAGCTGAAGATCTGTACCGGTATTTCCCAGTTCTATTTCTGATTTATACATTTAAAAATAACGTGTTGCCCCTAGTGATTTTCTTTTGGAAAGATAAATATAGTATAATGATATTGTATAAATACTTCTCTCACTCACGCGTATAAGAAAGAAAAAAAATCTCAGTGAAATTAGATCTTAACCTGTATAAGCTAAGTGCAAACTAGGACAAGGTTTGCCAGAAAGGCTCACGGGTGCTACTTACTGAGGGTAGGTCATTCCAATACTAAGGATTAATTAAAAGTGCAAAACCCAAAACATATGCAAAAATAGAAATATATACCCCATCGGCCAAAATTAATCATGATGTCTGCTTCTCCATCGTTTATTCGGTTAAATCTCAGCGGTGTGACGTCACTCCAGACTTGAAAGGCTCGAGCAAAGGCATCATCCACTGTCTCAGGATCCAAATCCGGGGTATAGCCTAAAATCCTTAGAGGTAAAAGGAAAAGTTAAATAACACATAAACCTTCTGCCAGTATTTGTTGTTTACTGCTCAAAATGCTGAGTAGACTCGGTAGTGAAACTGGTTAACAGTTAACAGTGCTGCACGTGACATCTACACTTTCCTGTGATTCAGAGATGTGTTTAGATGTAGTGCTTACTATTTATTTTGCTTTGGAATTGATACAGCAGCATGAAGAAAATTAAATAGCCAGAGGCTGTAAAGCCTGCATGGCAGCGGGCCTTGCACAACATATGCGGGGTTTTGCATCGGTGCCGAGTGCTGGCAAGTCATACTGTCACCTTAGACACGAACATACAAGCACATCTTGATGGATCAGATTTATTTCCCAGAAGAAGAGTTCAGTAATGTTTTGAAAGTTTCAAATGTGGATTGTTTTGCTCTTTAACAATAACAGAAAAACAGCTCTTCTCCCTCACCTTTGAGGTTAGCCATATATATTTCATCCCAGTTGAATGTTAATCCTTTACCACTGTGTCAGTTACATTTGCAACAGGATACATGGGGAAATAGAAGGTACAAACATGCACGATGGAGACCTGACATGAGAAAGGGGCAGACTCTTCAGTGCATTGGACTTCCTAGTGCCAGCTAATCTCCATGTAAAGACAAGTTTCCAATTCTTTTGCGGCCGGGCCTGTGCTCAGTGAGGGAAACTGCGCCTAAGGAGAATTAGGAAGCACGAGACGAAGCACATCAGCAAGTGCAAGAGTTGCCACAGGTTTTTTTGGTGTTTATTAGGCTAGTCACAGCATGAGGGGTGCTTTGAGTCATAAGTTGTGAGGAAACAGCAGACCAAGTCAAGTGGCTAAGACAAATCTGCTGGTTGTTCTCACTGATGCTAAAAGTTTGTTCCTGGACTACCTAAGGTAATGAGGTTTTTTCTTAATTACTGACTTCAATGAGAGCTAGATCGGTCCCTAACTCTTCAGAGTAAGAGTAAGACATTAAAACATGCCGAACCTATTGCAATAGGCTGGTGTTGAATCATGTCTATGTATATCTGAAATATGATTGCTTTAAGTTAAAATTTATTTGGTGACCTCCATTCTTATGACTGCTGAATGTGGAAGAGTCTGTTCTTCTCTGTGACCTCTGCAGTCAGTAAGTACTGTGGTCTCTGCTGAGCAGATGGGTAGCTGAGATGCTCCTGCTCCAGTTCCCTTAAGATGCTTGCAGCAGAGCAAAGCATAAACCCCAAATCTCTTTAGTCTGAACCAGGGCCATAAAGTTGATCTTTAGATTATTTTTCCTGAAATTTTTGCAATCTGCGGTTTCACAGGTGTTTGTTAAAGCATCCAAACACAAAGAGATTCTAATTCAAGAAATCCTGTATAGCCCACTAAGCAGCTACTCCACTTCTAAGTGTCTTGTTTGATTGGTTCTTAAAAGCACCATGTTTATATGTGAGCAAAGCCCAACATCACCGGTCAGTACCTGTATGTTATATAATTCTTCTCCCATTTTGGCTTTCTTGGAAAGAAGTTGTAATTCGCTACATCTGGGTTACCACAGCGGGGTTTCTTCATTGTCTCAATAGTATTTTGATCCAAATCTCCTGTTTCAGGCAGCCCAAAAAATTTCTGCATTTTCTTCAGAGTATCTTTCAGGACAAATAGATTGCAATTGTCTTTGGGGCACCCATAGTATTTATTCAGGTATTGCTTGGGAAAAAAGGACAGAACAAAGACTTTATAATTCATTAAAGAAATAGTTAATAATTACAAATCAATAGTGTAATTCCATATTGGCTCTCCATATATAATTTATACATTTTATTTTCAAAATTACTATTCTGACTGAGAGACCAGCAGAATCTCCTTAGTTGACACAAGCCATCCCTGATCACACAACATTGCTAATTAAGAGAAGATTTCCACTATTAGCTATCATCTTTACTTAATGAATTGCTTTATTAGTAAATAGAGCATAGTGCTTTAATGTAGAACTACAAAGTAGTTTAGTGAGGGTTTATCTTTTCTGGTTTCTTTATGACGTATAAAGCTGCTTACAGTTTTAGATTTTGTGTATTTTTTTTCTTGGAAGACTCTATGGATCACTGAGAAACTTGTCAAGGTATCAAAGCAGCCACACCAATTAGACCGCATTGATTGAAAAGAAAAAAGCCCCTTGTTTATTCAGACCACATAGAGCTATTTGAATGCTGTGTGTGGTTGAGTCAAACATTGAAAGACCTGAGGAGCTTTGGTAACATTTCAGTTGCCTGGACGCTACAGGCAATCAATATCTGCATACTTTTAAAACTCCATTAAACACTCCAGCAGATCATGGCTAGACTGGTCTTCTTGATAGAACCATGGTGGCAGATTACAAAATTATCTCTCCTTAGAAAACAGTGGTCATTAAGGATCAAAAAGGTAGCACAAATCTCATTATTTTCATCTTCTATCTAAAATAATACCCACCCAAATCTCCTCCACTTTCCATTTTGATCAATGTGACCTAATTAGCAGATGTATTGCAGTTAAAAAAAAATCAGCCAACCAAAGACAAAATATCTGTTGTTTGCTGCTGCCTCTAACCCTGGAGGAGCAATGGGTTACCTTGTTCCCTGACAATGGTTCCAGTGAAGCTGCCATGTCTTTCCCACGTGTGTTAATAAGTTGTGTATTTTACGTTAAACTAAGCTGTAGATGAACAGCTGTGGTCCACACATGCTCCCCTCCTTCTGTGCAATACACAAGTGAGTTAACACAAATAATTTGGTAATTCATTGATTGGCAGAGTAACTGTGAGCTTCTTGGGGTAGGGGCCAATCGGGAGAGAATGCCTGGCACTCTCTAGTGTGTAGTGAAACCTACCATAAAAACAGAGTCATGCAAATGGAAAGGGGCATTAAGAAGGTCTTTCTTCAGTCACTGTCTAAAATCCTTTACCAACTCTGTTCCTAACTGGAGACTCACAAACATGGCCACACAACAGACTGCTGGCTGGCCAGAGGTTTGGGTTCAGTGCTTGAATCCAGACTCAATCTGAGGAAGGCTGTAGCCCGAGCTGTTGCCTTAGCTTGGACTGTTGCACAGATAGGCTCAGTCACACTGTTTGGATTAAGTACAGCTTTAGACTGTTGAATTTATATCCTCATTGAGGAGCAGATAAATGGATTATAATGAAGATGTCAGTTTGGGTACTTCTGTAATGAAAATAACCTATCATTAGCTAATTATTTTCATTTGCAGGTTCTAAATAGCTTGACTAAACTATGTGGAGTTGTAGGCATCATACAGAAAAGTGAATCTTAAGGTTCTCTTGCACAGAGATATCAGGAACCCGACACTCAGGTCTGAGTTTGTAATATTTTATGCCTAGCTCTAAAAGAAAAGCTACACCATGTCAAATGGCATGTGTTCCCAAACCGATGGGTAGGCCACCCAAACTGGTGCTTAGCATGGCACGATGCTGGGAGATGCCCTTGCCAATGATGATGTTAGACAGGAAGGTTGCAAGTTACTGGTCTTTCTAGTAAAAATATCTGTAGCAGAGGAAGAAGCACCCTTCAGGTACCGTACCCAAGATATTAACTACAAATCCAAGGTAGGAAAACACCCTAAATAATGTACAAGGCATATTTACCAAAAATGTATCAGAAACAGCAGAGAGAATTATTTCTAAGTGAGGATTACAAGAAGCCTGACAAAATGACTGCACATTTAAGTTCTTGTGCTAGGAAGTATTCCTGAGGGAAACCTTACCTTATGTATCCAGTTAAATGAACTTCACCCAGGAGGCTGGGGATAAGATCACTACGTCAGCAAAATATAGGAACAGATATTTGATGACTGCAGTTGGTCAAGCCTGGATTTCACCACCTCCTCATTAAGTCCCTCATCTGAACCATAGGAAATGGTTCAGAGCTTACTCAGAAAAAGGATTTAATCAAGATGTTACAACATTTCCTAAAGAAGGTCCTCCATCCACCTACTGACTAAGCACAGACTATGCCTATTTTTTGTGATTTTTATAACTTCTGATGTGGTATTTCTCTAGTGGAGGCTGTGGCACTGGCAAATAATGGACACAGAATGGCTTCACCTTTGTGACCACTTAGCTTCTGTGTAGTCATAGTTAATGGGGCCTGGTGGAAATTATGTGACATGCATTAAGAACATAATCAAACAGGCCAGTTCGGAGGATCTGCTCATATCCCAATGCTCATTTCAATGTAGTTTGATATAATTTCTTATGGTTCTGTTTGCATATCGCAGTGAAGTACCATGATATAATATAGACTATACATCAGAGCTGAAGCTTGTTGAAGAAGCAGGATGCTGCTTTGCCATTTTAGGTTTGGGAGTAAGATATACGACCAAAAATATAAAATGAGGTTTGGTAAGGAATTTTACTGGCTAGGATTCTACATAAAAAGCTAATCCCTCTCAGTTCTTCCTAAAAGAGAGATTTTACTGAAGATGAGAAATAAACATAACTAGCTGTTCTACGAGAAGAGAATCTTGAAGAAAATGCAGTGTCTATGTAAACCACATCTGGTCTAGGCTGCGAAATTCAGTTTCCCCAGAGTCAGCAGGGAGCTGTGGTGATTTGGAATTTTGATCCTGCCCTTTAATGAAACAGGGTCCAGCTGCAACACAGCAATTTGTGTTCTGATGCTGAGTGCTTGGACTATTCGGATGGAGAGTGTGATGGAAAGGCAGCCAGTCAGCATTACCCAAGACTACTACAAGAAAGACAAAGAAGAACTGCAGTGTTAAACCAGCTTGTGATTTTCCTCTGAGTACACATAATAAATAGGTTGTTTGTAAGAAACAGAGATGAGGGGAGATGTGGATTGCTGTTGTTGAAAAAAAGCCTAACTGTGTCTAAGAAAATAGATCCTTTAAGACAGTTAAATGGCTATTAGACATGTGAGACCCCACTCTCCTCTCCCACATGCACCACCCCCTCAGTTTCCTGGCTGCTGTGCTGCTAAGGCAAAATCTTGGGTGAATTTGTTTTGTTAAAGGCTGAGGAATGCCTTTTTTGGGTCAGTTTGTCTGTTTTTCTTAAACTTTCCACCACAGCTCCCATCTGGAAATTCTCTCTCTACCCTCCCCCAGACCTTCATTAACCTGGCAAGCTTTCCCAAGATGCACACCAAATCCTAAAGAAAAGTGACCAACTTGCAAATCTCTGTGTCCTAAAATAAGAATAATTTATCTCAATCTTCCTTAAAATGGACTTACTGCTGAAGAAGAGAAATGTCTATAATTTACATGCTAAAATAAGGATAATCCATCTCAATCTCCCCTTAAATGGACTTCCCCATAATGTCATTTTTATGACAGTCCATGGGGCTAAAATAACATCAGAATAAAATGCTGTAGAGTTATAGCTATAATTTGCTAATGTCACAGAAATCCAAACTCCTTTTTTGTTCCAGATTGAATTTGAAAAAAAATTATATCTTTAAACCTCTGATGAGACTTCTTTTTCAAAGTCCAAACCAGTCACAATGGCTTCTGAAACTCCAACCGGCTTTTGATTGCAATTGCCCCTTAGAGCTGTGTTTGTGCAACGCATGGTAAACAATCTGGAAAACAAACTTCTGAAAGCTGTGATACATGCACTGAGTCTCAGCAGCCCTCACTTCTACTAGATTTAAATAAAAAAATTAGAAATCTCTTATTTACTCTTCTCCCCTCTACCATTGCAATCTTTTTTTTATAGTTGTGATGATTTAATTACATTATTTCGTATGTTCCGACTTAAGGGGAAAAAATGAAGACTTTCTTTGCCGACTTTAAAAATTTTGAGAGGAAACTTTACTTGGCTCTAGTTTTAACTTTTGAAAGCTGATACCTTTCCTAGCTAGCTAGCACGTCCAGAAACTGGGGAGAGAATGCTGCAGTCATTGCTTAACCTCAGCTGAAACAAGAAAGAAACATCTGCTTATGAAACAACAATACAAATCTGAAGCAAAGATGAAACCAACACTTACCACTGCTAGTTCTTTTTCTGTTTTGGGAGTGCTGTCTCCAGGAAACTTAATGATTGGTGAAGGTGCAGCTAAAGTTTTGTTTAAAAGATACACTTGGATTAATAGTACTTTAAAAACGAAGCCACAGACAATGGGAGTCTTCATTCTGCCTAAACTTGTGCTCTCCTCTTTGGAAAGAGATTTTCCTCAGCTGCCTGTCCGTTATTTTAGCTGCACAGTGCACCAGTTGTTTATCTGCACATCTTAACTCTTTGCACCGTTTTCTCTTTTGCTTGCTCTAGCAATTCCTTTGTATGTTTAAAACATCCAGATGCGCAGTCTCAAGCTACCACAAGAGGAAGTCTGAAAACTAGTGGAAACATGAGAAAAGGGCAGTTACCAGATGTGATTGCTGTGATTTTAAGGTAGCAACAGGCAGATACTTATTACTGCTGAAAGAGGCCACATTTTCTCCTCATTTGCATATATGAAAGTGTTTAATTGTACCAGAGAGCAGCAAAAGGCAGAATCTGACTTGATCTTGAAGATGAAGTGTCCCACATACATTTTAAATGTAAAAAACCCCAGTTCCTAAACATTATTTTCCTGGCTAAGTATTTTTACTTTTTTTCAGTCTATTTTCCTGCCACAGACATAATAATCTGCTTTAGTCATGTGTGGTTACACTCCTACACAGTGCCTTACAGTAAGCATTTTGATCATGGATTTTGAGGCAGACCCTGCACGGGGCAGCGCAGCTGAGGGAGACTTCTTGTCCCGCTCCTGCTTAGGTTCCACAAACTGTAGGTCTGTGTACACGGGGCTCACCCGCACTTGGTGCGAGCGTTGCTCCCTCCCTGCTCTGTGCAGAATGTGCAGGGCTCTGAATAAGATTCTTGTGGCTTGTTTGGGTTTTGAACCAGCTTGAGGTTTTGCCACCAACAGGCATGGCAGATCACCTTAATCTGCAGGGTATGGGATAATCAGGCAGATTCAGCAAATAGAAGTTGTCCTCGGTAACTGACAGCAGGGGAATTGTACAAAATTCAGGGTTTGCTGATGCTGGGAGTTTGGTTCGCTGCTACAGCTGCCTTAGTCTGAAATTTTGGAGTAAATATGTCCATTGTAATTGACAGTCTTTTTATTGTGTTGTTCATAATAATGCCAGCTTTGAGATATTATTGCAAGTGGAATGTTTTTTTTAGCTGAATGCCCCTAATCTGGGGGCTTGGCTCATGGCTTTTTAAGATGGGAGTCTGGCAGTTCTGCGTGAATGCAAACTGTGTTCTGGCCAGCCAAGTGTCTACAGCTTTACTAAACAGGAGTCCAGCTGTTGTGGTTCCTCTGAGCTGTACGTCAGCATAAAGGTTGTCACAGCTTTCCACTGGATGTTGAATGAAAGTTTTCTGGATATGACTCTTGTTACCAAATAGGGCTGTTAAAGAAAAGGAAATATTTGCTGGGGTTTGGTATTTGCTCATAATATTTTGATATCTGCTTGTAAATTTATGCTAATACCAAGCTATTTTGCTAACTGCATGTCGGTGAACTGAATAGTCTTATATAAAGGCAAGGATTTAAAAAGGTGGGCTAGGCTAAGGGGTTCAGAGAGAGAGCATCAGCAGGAGCTTTTGCTGCTGTTTCATTGCCAATCCAACGCAGCAGCCGTATGCATGGCCGCAGGGTGAAGCAGCCATGGGAAGCAGCACTTAATGCTCAAGAGAGACAGAGAAGTTGCAGGAACTTCATACATGAATAGAGCTTTCTTTGTAAGCAAGTAACTTTGCATTCATGTCCTCTTACCTCTTCATGTATGATTCCAATGGCACTTGGGTTACAGTGAACGATTTTCCCTAATAGTTTGGCTTTGAAATGATACCTTATTTTTTAGCTTTTCCCCATCAGCAAAAAAACAGTCATTTCTGAGAGTTACCTTAATAAATAGCAGTTCTGAAAATATGATCCAATTTTTCCGCAGCCCTGCACTTGGTTGTGGGGAATGGCTCTCTTGCTTTGTTTGTGATGACAGCTCGTATTTGTGGATGTCCATGCAAAACTCTAAGAGAACAAAGGCTAAGAAAGCCTTCAGCAGATGTGCCAAGTTACTCTTAACTTCCCTGTAGTTAAGCAAGTAAAAATATGATGTGTTGTGATGCAAGATTCTGCAGCTATTGTTGTGCTCTGCAGTAGGTCTAGGGCTGCCGTAAATCTTAAAACATAAGAACCGCATCATTTTCCTAAGAATTTTAATGCAATTTATGATGGCTTAGTAGCTTTCATGTAGAAGGGTACTGCAGTGAAAAAAGCCAAATGTGTTGCGGCACCTTCCTGTTGAACTCATAAGCCTGCCTGAAATCTGATGAATGCTCAGTTCTCAGTGTGTCCTAATGAACATAGAACTGGAAATGGATGGGGAAACTTTTGAATGGGCTGTGGTGTCTGTGAAGATTAAAAATCTCACTGTATTTTTTTTTCTTGTCTTTGCTGGCAATGAGAACAAGTAGAAGTCACCTTCTAAATACATTTCCTCAAAAAAATTGGCCAAGCAACAGAAAACATACAGACCTGCAGTGAAGTGTTGTTTCTCACCTTTGATTTTTTTGCTGGTAAACTGCTTTGCTGGTACTACTTCAGTTAGTGAGCAGTTAAGGAAGTTACGTTCAATTAGGAAACATACATAATGTAATCGTGGCTTTATGGACACTGGGTGAACCAGTTTCTGACCGTTCAGTGAAAGATATTTTTTCCCACTAGCACATGACATGAGTAGCAGATTATGAGATCCTGACTGATCTTTCAGATGAGCGAAGCAAAATAACTGCTGGTGACACTTCTTTGTGAGATTAGAAGTCCTATCATATTACAACTAAACTTGGGGTGAAATGTTTCTGATCTGCTTACAGTTCTCTTTAAGTTCCATGGGATCATCTTGTTCTCAGTGCACTACAGAGGTGCTGCTTTTTCAGGCTTAGAATGCAATGGTGCTAAGCCCTGAGAGTACGGAAATTCTACTGCTGGCAAGCCTCTGCTTTGGGCCAAATACTGGACTAGATGGCTTCCCAATTTACTCCATCGCAAGACATGGTAAGTGTGTTCTGTTCTCAGACTAGATAAGCTTAAAACCAGGGAGATAGACTCTGAAAAATTCAAATTTATGTGTTTTGGCATTGACAGATTTGCTGGTTTAACTGTTATTAATGTTTAGTGCAAAACCATTCCTTGACACTCCATACTCTGAAGAGATTACCTCTGATGCTAATTAGTGACTTCTGAACAGATTCCTGGAAGTTAAAAAGTAAGGAAAGAAGCAATGTCAAACACAGAGAAAGAAGAAAAAGCCCCCTTAAGAAGGGAACATAAGACCACCAGCCATGGAAGAGTTGAAACAGTAACCTGGATCTCCTTTCTTTTACCTTAGTACTCACTCTACAAAATGCTTTGTCTGTGTACATAGAAGCTACCTCTGGGTTAGCTACAGAAAATGGGCACAGTTATAGCTACAACTACAGCCTTTATATATTTGTGTTAAAAATAATTTCAATGTTGGATATAACTTCTATATTAGGTAAGATATTTATTTGATACTTACATTAATTTTATCTCTCCTGAGTCATAAAAAGTTCCTCTCTAGTAACTGTGTGTGTTTCAGGTTAGAACCACTCTATATTGAAGATTTTAAGCCATCTACTTTATGAGTAAGATGCCAGATTTGCTCTTTAAATGCCTACTTTCATGCATTAATAGGAACTGTATGGCACAAAACCACAACGTCTGAGATGGCAAATGCCTCTTTAGAGGATATACTTAAGCAATAACAGTAAAAAGAGAGTCATGATGTTTCGTGAGCCATAAGCTACATATCTCAGTAGATCTGACTGTGATAAGAGAGACACATGAACATGTATTAACATGCTGTTTTAATCAAAGGATTTTTCTGTTTCAGAAAATAATTTTTGAAATTATTCAGGAGCACTCAGCAGTTTCAGGATTAGACTTCAGATAGAGTCCTTGGTAATTTGCTGACAGAGTAGTCATCCCTCCAGA